CCCTGTTGAATGATCTGAAAAGCAGACATTGTGTGTGAACTGTTAGTTGACACCCCATGGGAAGGGGGTAAAAAACTTAGAAGCAAACTTGCTTCAGCATTTACCTTCATCAAGTGGGGGTTAAACAGAGAACTGCAGCATGACTGCTCTCTAGGTCATGCCCACTCCCTTACAGTATAACAGTTCCATCTATTACAGAAACAGCTAGGTAGCTAGCTCCTCCTACTCCAAGGCCCAGAGATGAGATTCCACAATGCATTGCTTAGGCTTATCTGTATAGCTTTGCCCAAACACTCTTGTATCAAACACTGTTCACATAAATACTAGAAAACTGCTAAGCCATAAATATGCACAGATAACAGCCATAACAGATCATTAGGAAGTTCGTTTTGGGTTTAAAAGTCATATTAATAGTTAGGCAGGTCTGAATTACTGTTGCTTTTTTGTTCTACTAAGTGACAAAGTTTAGCAAAGTGTATCTGAATGCGCTATATCTAGCTCCTTTCATTGTTCACCCTCCTCCTTTACATTATGCACGTTAGCATATTTAATCCTTGACTCCCAACCAATCTATTAAAATGTGACAGACTGAACAGCAGAGCATGGTACTTGCTGCAATAGTGCAGGCAGAATTTGCCACAAAATACACCAATGGACATGTCCACACTGCAGTTGAACATCCTCTACTTTACTGGCCTCTCTCAGTTAACTTGGACTCACTGGGCAAATATCTACACTGAAATTGTCAGCCATGGCTATTTGACTGCTGTGTAGATTCAGAATTGTTCTTCATCATTCAAGCTTTAATTAAAAAAAAAAAGACTTCAGCCTTAGCCTTTTTGGCTGCAACAAAAACATTCAAAAAGTAAACCAAATGTGAGCAAGTGCAATGTTACCAATGTGCTTGTATAAGCTAGGATAAAAGGTATTTTAAAATGCATTTAACTAAAGTGTTTTAAAAATCTTGTTTTAAAATTTTATTGTAAACAGGGCAATTTTTATTTTAAAATATGTTTAGCAGAGTGTAACCAATGGGGGAATGCAGAATCAACAATTCCACTGAGTAGGATTTGTGTTTCTATGATTACAATTAAAAAACAACCTCAATTTCTGAGAGAGATGTTCTTGAAAGTGCCACTGAATTTTCAGGTCTGTTGCTGGTTTCAGTACCAAGCTGCAAAAACAAAGTAGGTCTAGCTGACCCTACAGGACATAGTGAATATATATCTAAGTTAGATTATCTGTCAATGTGTTCACTTTTAATAGAACAATCTCAATATGTATTTACAGTACGTACCATGAATGACTATAGATTGTTACTTGGAATCGGCTATTTGAGATGATCTCTTCAACTGAAGGAGCAGGTTAATTAGTTACTCAGTTAACCTTTCACATCCCTACTTACCGGAAAAGCTTTTCCACTATTGCTCCTCTTCTCAATGATGGAACTTTCTGCTTCCCTTGAGCAGAGGGAGAAGTGTCCTAAGACTTCTCATGTATTAATAGCAGGTTTGATATAATTTACCTCTCATAATGGGAAATTTGAAAAATTAAATGAAAAATTGTTCCACTTCAAACTGCAATTTTTATGCCACCACAAAATAAAACAATAATTTGACTTATTTAAAAAATACCCTGTTCATTAAAAATGTTTTGCAGGGCGAAAGAAGTTTTTTTCAGACAGTTCAAATGCCTGTGGATAGAGTGCAGCAGAGTTTCTCAAAGTGAGAGGCATGGAATGTATTCTGGGTGAGAGAAGCTTTAGGGGGAAAAAGCACATTTTATGCTGCCCTCTGCCCTGCCTTCAGAGCTAGATGGCTGAAGAACAATGACTGCTGGCCAAGAGCACAGCACTGAAGGCAATACTGCAGCCAACAGCATCTAAGTTAAAATTTACATTACTATATATTTAAATTCATCAATACCTTTTTTTTAAATATTTATTGAGAGTTGCATGTTGATTTTTATGAGTATATTTACTCATTTGGCAGGGGGCATAAACCATTACAGACACAAAGAATGGGGATGTGCTCAAATATGTTTGAAAAACACTGATGTTCAGGATATATACTACAGTACAACTCCATTAGTCCGGCATCCAATGCTCCAGCACTCCTGATGATCTGGCACCATCGGGAACCTGGAAGTGCTCCGGGCAGCCGGACAATTGGAGCTGCTCTGCGCCCGGCTTCCCCATTCAGCCGCTGCTGAAACTGACCAGCAGCTGAATCGGGAAAGCCAGGGGCAAAGCAGCTGGGGTGCTGCCAGGTTGGTCCCGTAGCACTGCCCCTCAGCTTCCCGAGTTAGCCGCTGCTGAAACTGATCAGCGGCTGACTCTGAGAAGCCCAGGGCACAGGAGG